GTTTATTAAATTTTCACTCCAACTTAGACATTCAATCAATGCGTATTTTCTTGTAGTGTGTACCTTTCCTTCAAATTATACTGATTTTTTGACACTGCTCTTAAGATATTCTCTTCCTAAACAGCAAATATTGGCAACTTCTCAAACTTGATTTATTTCCTTGAATCATTTGTGCTAGCATGATTTTAGTCTGTTAGTTGTCAGAAATTTGTCCACCCGGCTTTAACTAATCTTGTGCTAACTTTTAGAGCCATGTTACCAAGCAGCTGTCCTTGCTTGTTAAAAACACTGCCGTGAAAGCGTTTTACACTTTCATGTTGTATTAGATTTGAGATGGAAAGATTTTACAAACGAGTGCATAGTGGTGCTTGTAGTGACATTATTTTAGAGTTTGGACCTTTTCGTATATCTACAAGATTACCTTTTATTCTGATTATTACTGAAGATGGAGTGAAGTGATGTCAGTCAACACGGAAGGGATTCCTTTATCAGGCTACGGTGTATCTTTTTCAAGTAATATCAGAAAAGAAAAGAAAAGTCAGTTGGGTAAGCAGGAGATGAAAATGCAAACTTAGCGTATCTGTACTTCTCAGAATATAATCTTTTAATAAACACTGTTTGAGTCTTCCTTAATAAAAAGTCAAGTAAACGTGTACAACACACAATGAGAAGAAAATGTGAGACTAGTAAGGAGAGTTTTTCAAAAGTATATAACTGGTTAAAAGCATGATACTGTCTGCACTAATGATTGTTATTAAAGAACCAACTAGTCGGTATACCTGGAAGAAGGCTGCTGTAAATTTGGCTTTGTTTGACTTAATTTTACACGATGTAGGATCATAGAGGAAATATTTAAGGGCGTAATTAGTGCTTTTAATGAGTATCTGACTTTTCATGCTGATTTACCGTGATTAGTAAAGCCACCATTTTAGTACATATAGAGATAAAAAACGAACAAAAACTCCGGAAGAGGTATTCTATTCTTGTTTTCATAAGCTGACAGTAGCACAATAGAGAGATGCCTGAAACTTGAACTGAAAACTGAATCTCTTTAGAAGTAGTCCCCACGACATTTTCTGAAAGTTTCACTGTGTAAGTCCCAGCTTCTTCATCAGAATTATTTGGATTTTATTAAATATGAAAGTATATAGTTGAGAATTACATAAATTGAAGTTCACTTGGTGGTAGACATTTGCACCAATAGAAAAGTGTAAACAGTCATCAAATGCTTGTAATGACTAATGTCAGACTGTCATATGTGCATAGTTGTTTGTATGAGTGTGTGTGCAAGAAATTCACTTCAATTTATGTAATTTTCTGACTATAATCCGAATAATTCTGCTGAAGATGCTGTGGCTTAGGCAGAGAAACGTTCAGAAAGACCTTGTTTTGATTATTTTAAATAGTTTATAATGATTCAAACTGACTTGGCTCTCAAATTGTTCTAAGAAATCCGTAACATCTACGGTCTGGATACTTATAACCTTTGTATACTGCTATCACTCACGCTGTCATTTCAAACTCATTTACACCAAAATCACTTTATACAGCGCTCTGTGTAATTGCAATTTAAATGATGGTTACAAATAGAAGATTACTGTGGTCTGGTTCAGCAGAGTACTTCAAACACCATTACTTTCATCTATAAATAATACAGTATCTGTTCGTTGCACAAAGTAGATAAACTGATATGGCATACTGCTCCACTACAATGTCACAGTTTCGCCTTTATCTGCATTTGAAATCTAATCAGGCTCAAATAATTTGAATGGATTTTAGTCTATCTTTATGCTTCATATTTTTATTTACACACCATTTCCTGTTTGATTTCTAAGCTAGTGGTTAGTGCAATTAACAAGGTTAAGTGAGACTGCTGTTGTCCTATAGCAGGATTTGACAGATTATTCTGTCACGGGTTTTACTTAATTTTTCCCTGTAGGGAATACAGTCGTAGTCAAAACTCGTTTTCTGACTAAATGTCAATTTCAGTAGTATTTGATTATTATATGTTCCTAATGTCACCTCGGTCAAACAAATGATGTAACGAATTCTTCAGTCTTCATGTTAATAAGCAAAGGTTAACTAATCAAGCCTTTAGGCTAGTTGACCTGTACTTAAACTGACGTTTACTACTTATTATGAAACTGAAATTCCAGCTAAACTTTTCGATTTGCAGAAGCAAATGATATGAATATCTCCATGTATATGCATTATGACATTTTTTGAAACAGTTGTGATGATTCTGTTTACAGAATTTGTACCGCTTGAACTAGATGGATTTGATTGGTTATTTTAAAAAACAAACTAACAATAACAGTAATACATGGAAGGAATACTTCTTCATGGGTAAAAACCGGTAGAATTAAAACAACTTAATTGAGAACTAGTTTTACTAAAAGATGATTTGACAGTTTTTAATAAAGCATTTAATATGATAGGTGAAAAGAATGCTGGTTGGTTTGTTTCACAAAGAATATTCACTGTACAAAAATAGTATTGATAGAGAGACAATATGAGATAATCTTGAACTGGCAGGCTGTTATGGACGATGATCTCATTAGAGATTGGGTCTGGTAGCCCAGCTGATAGAGCGTCGCACTAGTAATTCAGGGGCGGGTGGTTTGAATCCTGAATCAGCCTAGATCTTCATTTTCACTTTCGGTCATTGCCCGTTACGAAAATACTATTCTCAGTTTATTAGATGGTTGTTATTAAAGTGATTACTTTTTCTCCCTCCTTTTCATTTCCTGGATCCCTAGTGGAACGGGAGCCTTCAAGCTTTAGACTTTAGAGTTTCAGTAGGCATGATGGGGTCGCTAGCCTCAAGCTCAGACTCACCTCATTTTCTGGCTTACTAACGGCTAGTAAGTTGTGCGAGGTTGCGTTGGTCGGGAATCGAACTTGGACCACTTAATTGGTTGGCGGGTTTCCACAATTGAACCACGGGTGAACAGAGTGATTCTGGCGGCGGTAGGTTTTATTTATTTTTAGTAGCTTTTGCTCGGATGTCAGACGTTTTATGACCAATTTTATACAATATTAATCTAGACTGTAACAGCAGATTGGAAGAACAATTTTTGGTAAAACAATCTAGATGAATCTTTTTCTGGAAAACACGGTTTCTTTCTTAACCAAGCCCTAGATGGTGTAGTAACTTCACGAAAACTTCACGTACAAATTGATATAAGAGTGAATGGGGAAACAGTACATATATTATCACTAATCTCCATAATGAATATGAAGAAGCAGAAACTGAGTGGTAGTTCTTTGAGTTATTGGGTGTCTTAAGTTTTTAAGTGGTTTTGGGATTTATTTATCTCAGGATTGAATAATCAGCAAGTTTTTTCCGTGAACATGAGAAAAAAGTGTCTAGAAAAGATGCATATTTACTAGTGAAAACTGCAAATGTGAGATAGGGAAGAAGATTATTATTTTACCACTCGTATGATTTAATTGAATAAACTTTTTAATGTTTTCATATAATTAGTTGGAGGGTTTCATCATGAGCTGACATCAGTTAGAGAACCGTTGGAAAACCTGGGAGTACTGGACAACTGTTTCATACTAGTTTTGGGGCTCTTCGTCAGTACGCACCCACCGCCAGGGTTCGAACCCAGGACCTTCTGGTTACAAGGCGAGCTCGTAGACCACTAAGCCACTGGGATCCTGTCCAGTGGCCCATGAATTCTAACTTCTGCTAATTCATGACATAGCGCGACCACCTCGCAATGTCTTCTTCGATGAGTTACTGCCTCCCCTTCAACCTGCTGTACCCTACTGGTGTCAGCTCTTGATGAAATCCTCCAGCCAATCAAACAAAAACTTCCCTACAAAATCAATACTTGAAAATTTTCATGTAAATCAAAATGTACATCATTATCACGTAGAACTGATTCATAAACCATATTTATCTCTTAAATTGCTGAAATATGAACAAATATTGAATCCCCAGCCTTGACTCACAGTTCTATAAGGTGACTAGATGATTATGAGTTGCTGTTCAATTGGAAAACTTTGTCAGGGTTGGGTGAATCAAATACACAATATACTTTTACTTTTCTTCTTGAACAGCCTTTGTGTATGGTTCTTAGGTTTCACTCTTTTACTAGCAGATCAAATCTATATTTCAATATTACTTGTTCTGAATAATTATCACTAATGCAAGTAAGCATATCTATGAACCCAAACTGCTTGAATACTCCTAATGTCCTTATTTATTTGATAACTAGGAAAATCTAGAGGTAATAAGAAATTAGAATTAGGAAATAGTATGCATCATTGAGCGTCGGTGGCATAGTGGTTAGGATGCTCGCCGAGGTCCGGGGTTCAATCCCTGGTCGACACACTCCTTTACCTCGCTAAGCCAGAAACAAAGCTGGTAAAGGGGAAAGGTTGGGCATGAGGCTAGCAACCTCATCTTGTAAAAGTAAACACTGCTAAAGAAACTTCAAGCCTTTAGCTTGAAGCCCTGGGAACGTGAAGGAATAAAAAAAATGCATCATTGATCTGTCGTGCTAATGAGTTTTTGACGCTCAGGTACATCAATAATCTATTGACCTAACTACGGTGAAAACCACTGAGATATTAATAAGAAAGATGCTACTGTCTACGGAATGTTGTCAAATGTAGAGTGGAAGAGAATGTCTACCTCCTGCTTGTGTTAATTATAACCTGACAATAAGCAGTAGTTAACAGCTTTCAGAAGTATCATTACACTGCCGAAAAACTTTAAGTATTCTCCGTATTAATTATCTTAGAGAAAGAGGTAAGCCGATAATTCAGAGCACAGTCACATTAACTTATGTTATTTATGTAGAAGATGGTCGTTACCATACTCCTGAATTTCTGGCTTCTTGGAAAAAGTTTGGGAAATTCAGTTCAACCTGACCCAATCATTTTATACAAAATTTAAGTACTTTTTTAAATAAAATCTTTTGAAATTTTAAAGTACCTAGCAATTATATTACTCTAACCAAAAATTTTTCAAGAGAGTAACTCACTCGAACACGACTTTCTGAAAGATCCGTCCAAGTGGCGATTTCTTCACGTAAATTCATATCAGGATAACGATTTCTTGCAAATGTTGCCTCCAATTCTTGTAATTGCTGACTTGTAAAATGCGTTCTTTGCCGACGTTGACGCTTAGTGAACTGTGGACGACAGGAATGCGTCTTATTAAATGATAAATTATTTGTATTTGCATTAGAATCAAATGTCTCCATATTTGGCTTCATTTGATCACTGAATCCCTTTGACGGTGTTTGGTGCTTTGACTTAGTGAAAAGATTAGGTGCTGTTGCTAGTGTGGTGTTATGAAAAGAATTATCAGGATTCACCGAAGAAGTGGTTCCAGTAATACCAATAGTTAGGGTGTTGACAAAGTTACCGGATGAAAACAAGCCTTCACTAATGATATTTTGACCGTTATTATTACTATTATTGCTTGTTACATGCTTAATACTGTTACTGTTGTTACTCAGTGTCTTACTATACCGTTCATTTTCCTTTTTAAAGTCAAAAGGTTTTGTTCCCTTCTCTATTAATTTGTTTTGATTGTTGGGGAACAAATTGTGTGGTATTGATTTCCTCACGTTACTTAATTTCATTTGTGTTAATTCAGCATTGAAATCAATTGTCTGCGATGTAGTGAATTTTTCAAAGTCATGCTTAATAGGACGTTTATTCAAGGGATAGACGTGATCTACGCTAGAATAACTTTCAAAATCGTAATTACCAACTGATTCATGTAAATTAAATTTTGGTATTTTACATGACTGGTTTATATTGTGACTGTTAGTACTGTTATTTGGAGTGTTTACGGGGTGAGTGTTGTTGTTTGGTATGGCTGTAACCGATGTCATTGTAGTGTTTGAAATGTTCATTGATTTTTGGTTTCTGTAAGAATAAAACACCAAAATATGTTATATTTGTTAAACATGTAATATTTATATTTTTTAATTTAAAAGTAAATAAAATAGAAACATTGTATGTTTCCTCATGTTTAGCTGGACAAAACTAACACATTTTACAAGGTTTTCTTAGCAAGCTCGCTTTCTGTTCTAACTCAGGAAGTGAAAATCCTGTTCAAGAGACACAATCTCTTAGTTATTAATTGGTAGAGTAAAACCTTCAGTAGACTTGTACAGTTCATAAAAAATAATATTGTAAGTGGTTAATTTATCGAAATAGCACCGTTATTAGACATAAATAGGATGTTTTTCCTCTTGGCCTCAAAATATCATTCTTTCTTCAAACACGGAATATCACTGTAGTGAATAGGGGAAGATAAAAGTAAGCACAAGCTGTTTTCGCGCCTAGTGTAGCAAGCCCCATAACATATATTTTATCTGTGTAAAAAAGTCGATAAAACATCTTTAAAATGTGGCAGACGTAAGAGTATGACTACAGAATTTCTCTAAGTACTTAATTTACAAAATCATAAAAGATTAACTATTTGATGAAATTCAAATCGTATCGAACCACCCCTGTTCCATTCATTCAAGTAGTCGGAGACGAAACGGAGGTAGATTTCTTTTAGCGATAACTTATATACTCACCTAATTAATATGGATTTTGTGTATACCACTCATTGTAAAATTCTGTTAAACAAAATTAGATAGTGTATCTAAGTTGATGATAGGTGTAAATTCATTACAGCCGAAGTGGCTAAAATTATTCCCATCTATTCTGTACCAAAAAAAATTACTAAAAATATGGGTGAAGATTTTTGGGCTGTTGTTAATGCAGTATTGAACTGTGGGAATATGTGAGAATAATATTCCGTTGGAACACATTGTCTGTATCACACCACCACAAAGTTATTCTGCTGTGTAAGTGTAATCTGTCTCAGTATACTAGTGACGAGTAAGTCATACAGTGGCCAAGTGAACATCTTGCGTTAAGATCCTTTTGATTTAGCAAACATTAACCTGTGAACCAATGTGAGTTGTTTCTCTTTAGCTAACGTAAGGCCATTCCTAACGTTTACACGAGAATGTTTTACTACAGAATGAATAAATTTTTAAAACAATTTTCAACCATAGAAGAATTTTCCTGACAATCACATAACTCGATTATGAAGAAAAGATGAAATATTGTTTCGTTACGGCAAAGAAACGCAAACACACGTTTCATCGAAATACATTTTGAGATGAATCCTAAGTATAATTTCACTAGAAGTTTACCATGCGGTCGTTTGTCTCGCATTGATTTATTATTTCACTGCATTCGTAGTACAGTTACTAATCTGATTTAGGACATTTTACGGTTTCATTGATTACGAAGTAGGTTTTATTATGAATCCAGCTGTCAAATACATTTCGGTTTTCACTAGCTGTCGAACTCACGGGAATACAGTTTTCGATTACTGTTTTTACCGGGGAGAAAAAAAGAACTAGCATCATACCATTTCGTGTCACCATTAAAGAAAATTCAAGAATAGCGATGTCCAACCAACTTCAAGGGGAACAGTAAGATGGAAAAGATAGGACAGTTTGTTGTCTGACATATATGCTAAAAAATATTCTGGTCTATGTTAAAGACACTGATAAAAGTGAGTTATAACGTTAGAATCAGTACTAGGAATTTTTACCCTTTATTAACTGTTTAGGTTTGAATAGTGGTTTCTGTTTTGCATTTGGGTTGTCAGCCCCATAAACGACCTTGTCCAGCCGAGAGTGGACAGACCTCACTCATCCTGTCGAAATACTCCTCATGTAGCCACGCGTTCATAACCTTAAACAAGTAAGTCCTATTCACTGCGTTTAGGCAGCGGGGGTCTCCCTGACAAAAGTAAAAGGATGAATACGAAAGTCTGGCGCTTACAAACGGACTGGTTAACATGCTAGTAGACGTAGGAGAGCTGGAAAATCCTGATTCCAAACCCATATTGTACATGGACTCCAGAATCCAAACGGGTCGAATTGCTTATGAACCTGTTTTGGTCAATGACAACCGTGGGAATATAGCTGCTGACGCTGGACAACTGACTTGTGGGTCAAACTTCAAGTCAGAGTCTCGGAGGAGGATGATCCCTGTCTCCGCCTGAACATCCGGGAAGTGTCTCACTAACTGGGATTTTGTGTGGCGTATCTCCTGGTGCCCACAGTTTACCAATTTTGTGTTTTAATAAATAAAAAATATGGGCTGTATTTGGATTTGATTCCAAATTCCTGGCAGTATCAGTATAATAGCGGGATGCCTAGTGATGGTGAGTGGCCTTAAAAGCCATTCTCAGGCACCTACAGTTTTCATACTTATGAGATATCAGGATTGTGTTTACCTTTTCAATATATGGGTTGTTATCTTAAGCACTCCGAATAAATAACCAATGGGGTGTTAATTTTATCGCCATGTGCATATTAGTGCTTATTGTAGGTAATACTAAGGTCATTTTTAATTGACCTTTAATTAGTAACCAAGAAGCTAGTAAGTTTATGACAGCTGATTAGTGTGGTTAACCTTCACACAACAAATATCTCTAGAGTCCCAATATACAGACTCATTGAGTCAAGTAACAAGGCATGTAGTGCTTGAACTTGTGTAACACTGCTGAATCACCTTCTGCGAAGCATTGCGAGCGGTGATGTGTGACAGCTTATTCCTTGTTGCGATAACCAGTTAACTGGTTTTCAATTATCTGATAGTTGTTGTAGTTAAGTGTAGTGAAATATCTTGAAAAAAAACGTATTAATGATGTATCGAAGGACGATAATAGCTTACTTGTTTAATCGTCTGAATAAAGAAGTTGAGAAGTGACATATATCTTAATATATTTAGGCATAGTATGGATAGTCATTAACAAAGTGAAAACTCTTAGCAGCAGAACTCTATATTATCTCTGTTATTACTTCTACTAGTATCATTATTACTATTATTATTACATGTATGAAAATATATTTATTCTCGTGTTGATTAGAAATGTATCCTGGACTACTTATAGACAAGAGAGAAGGCAGATGACAAGGATAAAATATATCCGATATTAGTGACCTAATCCTTTACATATATAATTTCTGAACATGTCATTATGATGAATCAAATAGGCAAACACAATATAAGTATAAAGGGATTACAGTGAAGATTTTAAAAATTATAAGGACAGTAAGTAACACAGCAACTTGGAATTACTGATTATCATTACTTAAATGTAAATCGAAATAAGATTACTTAGACATAATTACACTTACCAATAAATCTTCTGTGGAATTAGTTGCTTTTTCTTGTTACTCCTAGTCTTGCCTCTTTCAAGTATTTGTTTGCTAATAATTAAGGAGGATAAATGAAAATCCTTTAGTCTTCAGGATTGTGTTGTTTTTTCTTTCTTTTTTCTTTTGAATTGAAGATTGATAACAGGTGCCCAAGATCAGAAATAGCAAATGAATAGGAAAGAAGGAGAAGGATGATATGAGTATGTGTGTGAGTGATCTCAAAAAAGAAGCTTAATTCATGTAAAGCCTTTGTGAATATGTCAAGAAAAAAAGCTGTATGAGTTAAAGTTCTAATAAATCTGCTGCGTTTTGATGACACTATGATTTGATTTTTGTAAATCCTTGGATTTTAAGTCGGCTTAATTGGACTAGTGATCAGAAATCAAACTAATCGTACAATGTATTGGTATATGTATGTCAACTTCTAAGCCTGTACTTAACAGACAATGGATTCTGAGGATTGAAGTAATTTAATCCAAATTTAAGTCGAGAAATCTCGCTTGTGACTGGGTTTTAGAATTTAGGTGTCTGTTTGACGCTCCATCTTTCGTTCTCTCTCTCTCGTCCTTTCGAATCCTTTAATACCCTTCATCTTTCCTTTTTTCCTCTTACATACATCACTTCTTTTGGCTTTGCCCCCTCCCTTTCTTCTCCCCTTTTCTTCATTTTACAAGTATAACAGTTGAAAATTTTTTTATCATTACAACTAGAATGTATAGCAAATGTTAGGTAAGGCATATCTCGTATTAAGTTGTCGTGTGCTTACCACCTAAACGCCTTTTTCTTAAGCCAGTCAGCTTCAGTAAATCCTTTAAACCACTAAGCTTTAAGAATTTTGATTTAGAAGGAAAAAGAATAATAATGAGAAACACGATTATCAGACGTTCCCCTTAAAGGGAAATACAGCTGAATTCTTATCATAGTAAACATACACACATATACAAGCATACACAAAGATGTTAATGAACCTCTTATAATGTATGAAGCGAGAAATTTAAGCAACAAAAACACGTTAGAGATTCTGGGATAGACAATATCTGATTTTATTAAGCGTTATCCAATCAAATGTTGGATAAATGTAATAAAATTAAAAGGGTGAGAAAAACTGATTTTCTCTACTCTTTAAAAATTAATTCAAATTTTGATGAAAAACAATCATTCCTATTTTTCAAAGAAGAGCACATACTAAAATCGAAGAATAACTGACAAACAGTCAAAGGGTAACATTTCCACTGAATGAAAAATGAAACATTGTTGGCCAATAACATTCTCTAGTGAGACACTTTCAGTCTGAATTTATAACACGGAAGATTGTCTTTCATTATGAAAAAATTTAAAGTATTATTGTTGCTTTCATGGAGGATTTCATCATGAGCTGACATCAGTTCGAGGACCACTGGACAGCTGTTTCATCCCAATTTGGGACTCTTCATCGGTTCGCACCCATCGGGATTCAAATCCTGAACCTTCTGGTTACAAGGCGAGCTCGTAGACCGTTGAGCCACTGGGACCCGAACTAATGGTCCTTGAATTCTAACTTCTGCCAATTCACGACATAGCGCGACCATTTCGCAATGTCTTCTTCGATGAGTTACTGCCTCATCTTCAACCTGCTGTCGCATATTATTTAATCGGTACTAAAGAATATACAAGACTTCCTGCCGATTACCTCTAACCGTCTAATAACAACAGTTCACAGTGCACTGTGATGCCAAGCCACCTAGCATGGTGGCCACATGGCAGACTTGACTGCACCAAACCAAGGACTAGATGATGCATGACACTTACTAGCTAGTGTCCAATGAAAGTATATAGTTTAGCCGTTAAGGGTAGTAACGTCTAGTGAACTGCTTCGATGGTAGTCACATGATTTTTATTCCCGATCCTGGCCTCATGTCGACAATGTAGATACTCTTCTGTTCGTCATAATGATAATAAGTTTATTCCCAGCAGTATTTTTGATGCAGTGTAGGATTCTTGTATTTAGTACGATGTTTAGTGTATAATATTGCACACTAATACCAGTGTACGCTTTATACTAAATGTGCCTCAAGAAGCAATTGATCAGATGCATCCATCTGAATGAATCACCTATGACTGACTGTGGATGAACTTATTTGGTGTTCCCACAGAAAATATCATGTCATCATCCACCAGAATATCGTATTACTATGAAGGTTTCTTGTGTAATCAGTGCCAGTATTTACTGCGACTGTACCTTCTGCAATGTTAAGTTTTGGGACCTAATGACAATCAAGACTTTGTAATAAGCATTGTAGAGTTTTTTCAGGCAAGGGTCGCAGTTAGTAACAGACACTGATGGAACTCCTTTACAAAATCATTCGTTTAATTTTAGCCGTTGATAGAATAAAATGTACCACAACTCATCGTCACTTTATTTCTTCAATAGTCTGACCCAAGTTACGTCTAAAATCGAGAAATTCCCAAGCAGTTTGGAATGAGATTCTTTGTTATAGGAGAGTTGCTTGTTAAGAGGTTTTATACATAATAATTTACACCATTATACATCTTTCAGTTGTTAAAATTAAATTCCATTTACATTTATACATTACCCCCTTCCTTTCTCAGTCCTGTTGAGGAGGCAGGCTAATTCTCTACCTCTAGTTCTTGTGGTTATACATGTAGTGGGAATCAGCAGTCCCATTCCATCTTGATAATTCTTCATCAGTAATTGGAGTGTTCGTGATAACTCTTTAAATTTATCTAAGTGATCTGGTAGATATAGGATTATGTTAGAGTTATTTGATAATTTGTAGGCGTTATATGTAATAGTAGGCGATTAATTCACTTTTATCAACTGGTTGTCATATATGATTTACCAGTTGGTAGATCATATTCTTCTTCAGTGAATTAAAAGGGCATAGAAATAAAATTAGTCGTGTCTATCTCCAAAGTGGATTATCCTTCTCTTGCTGTTGCGTCCACTGCTAGACTTCTTATTGTAGAAGTTTGGTTTGTCAGTTGTCAACCCTTGTCAATATCCAAATGACTTCATACGATCCATTCCCTATATTCAATGTTTAGGATTTTATACGACTGGTTACTATAGAAAAGCCACGAAGACATTAATGAAAGCATCCTATTTTTTCACAAAAGCGTCGATTCGATATGAAGTGATCTGGAGGGTGGAGACAAGCAGTAGAATCTAGGATGTGCATTTCGTCCTATTTGGGACTTGTCAACTACAATCAAAACTGACTTGAAGTGAATTCGACTTTACAAATTTTTGCCTGCTATTTTTCCCCTCAGTTCTATTCTTTATCTGGCTAACAACTTCACCGTCCATCTAAACAAAATACCTAGGGCATGGATTTTATGATGTACATTGTGGGTTTATACAATGCTCATTTGTCTAATTGTGCAGTTCACCTGTTCTTGTTCAGTGAGTTGCGTCGGCTATATTCATAGTTTGCTTTCAAAACACATACCATCTTCATTGGTTTTATTTGGAAGAAGCCATATGTCGCATTTTAGTCGGAGAATATATGATCCATTCTGTCTTATAGATTCACCTATAAACCAGTTTTAAAACTAACTGCAGATTATACAGAAATTTCTGGAAAAACCTACGAACAAAACTGCTGCAAACTACAAGAGCCATCATTTTTAATATTCAAAAGTTTGAACTGTGTGTACAAGAAAGAGGTATTCAGTCACTGGATTTTTAGTGGGTTTAGACATTAGAATATTTTACATTTGGAAATTCTTTATGTAATTTTGTGAGAGTTATATTATATTATTTTTCTAAATTTGGATTGCTGAAATATGCTCAGATATTTTAAGTCCGTTATACCGTTTAAATTAGCTACTTGATCTCACTTTGTTTCTGATGGATTATAATTTCGATTATATTTGACTGAGTCAATGATTTCGAATGTTCTGAACATTAAATTGCAATTTGTTGAAGTATATTGGAAGATATTTTCTTTGTCACAGCAAGCCAGTCAGGATCAAGAAAGAAAAAGGTCTACGGTACTTAGCACAAAGAACGGGATCCTACTTTTTAGTAGCGACGTCATTGCTAATGCTTCTCTATGGTTCAAAGACTTGGCGCACGCATCAGCAATAACATTTACAATCGGTTTAATACTTTCATCAACGCATGTCTTCGCACGCTGCAGGAGACCACATGATCATTTGAACATGATAAGCCATAAGGAACTTTGAGGGTATTGCACACTAGCCAGGAACTTATTTTTCAACAAATATGCAAATAGAAATGAAGAGACCATCAAGTGCCATCACATGCCAGGCTGCCAAATGGAACATGAATGAGAAGCGACATGTTAAGCATCTCAGAGTGACACTTAGATCATGTTAATTGAAAATGAAAGCTTTTGGATGGTTGGAGAGTCAACTGAAAGCAACTGCATCGCAAAGACACCCCTGAGGCCCCGTGTTCCACTCGGGACTCAAGCTAAGCCAGTGCATTGTACACACGCGGTTGTACAGCTTGAAACTGAGCAGTTGGAAAGAGTGGCACTTTGCTGAATACATTTCCTCTTGATAAAAAATTATAGGGATTTCTAAGATTGCTTTCCACTTATTGATTCGTAGGGATTTGTTTGATTACGTGACGGGGAAGATTTATGACTCAGGTGGGTGATTCTGGTATGGTTGTATTCTCTGAGCTCAGTAGTCTAACCGAGAAGCTTTTATTGCTCACTTCATATTGAAGTTTTCGCTGAAGCTGATGTCTAGAAAAGCAATGAAAGCTTCGAAGTTAAACCACCCCAAGCTCAGAGAACACAACCACATCAAAATAATTTTACCTAAAACATTGGTTATTACATGTGATTATCTGAATGTGTTCTTTTAGTTGACTTATAAACTAATACCAGTACTCTAATTAGGATTTTCTTTTGTGGATACCTTTAGGGCTAATCAACAAATCAACACATGCTTCTCAAGTCTACTGATTGTCTCATGCATAATGTAACCTTAGGTAAGAAAGACACAGACATGTATGACTTTGAAAGAAAATTTTCTCGCGCATTATATCAAAGTCATCTAACCAGATTTTTCGCATTGAATCATAAATCATATTACAATTCATTTCAATCCATTTATCATATTCCAATATCTTACAACTTACTTCCTGAAAAAGTTTTTCACAATGTTGCATTTCAACAAACAAATCCCCCCCGCATCATACCCAAACACATCCATACATACACGTGCATAGGATTCCTTTTATTTAATAAATACTAAAATACATGAAAATGAAAGTCTGAAATGAAAAAAAAGAATGATTTGCAAACTTATAAAATAACTTGTCAACTGTAATGTTACTTTTTCTTCAACAATTATTCATATTCTCACACACGTTTTGATGATAA